GGGCGGTACCGCCCACATTGAGAACCGCTATTCTAATACCTGACTGAATGGCAGGGAGAACATTCTCAACAGAAGTTATTTTGTTGATGCTTGTCAAACAAGTCCAACATGTTGCTGACAGAACCTTCCAGAAACACTGCAGTGTTTTCTGGAAACACTGCACCAGCTTCCTCTGGTGATGGAGGCTGAACTGATGGGATGTCATGTTATCGGCCTCCTCATCAAGAAAAATCAAGCCTCTTTAAATATATTGACCCACTACAACACACTAATACTGCTCAGCTAGTGTGGCTACATATTCCTTTTGAATTATAAAACCCCTCATATCAACGTTTTCACTTTTTATTGAATACAGGGAAAATGTATCTACTGTGCCTGCACATATAATTTTAACTGCATTTCCCAGTTCTTCTTGATAAGTACAGTGATCCCTCGCTATAACGCGGTTCACCTTTTGTGGTCTCGCTGCTTTGTGGAATTTTTTTTCTTTTTTGTGCAGTTTTTTTCATAGTGCATTGTGTTCTGCGTCTTGATTGGCTAAACAGTCTCCGAGCTCTTTCTCTACCTGTGTGCCAATAACGTTAAGGTATTTAAATATAATACAGATTGGTCATTCAGGAGACGAAAGCTGAAAACTTTGAATGCCTGCTGGACAAAACTGTGGCCAGAGGCAGCGCAAAACCCGACCGGAGGCTCGCTTGACGAGATCCATCGCTCTGCTGTAGATACAGCTGTGAATCTCGCGGGGCAGGTTGGAGGAGACGCTTTAATGACGTGACTTTGGATCACATTAAGGCCCGGTTGATGAACACGCACATCCGCTGACCTGAAAACAGGTTTTGTTCTTTGGTTTCAATGTAGAGAATTTAATTATGCAGTGTAATAGTTGTAAAAACTAAAGATAACTACTTTGTGGATTTCACTTATCGCGGGTTATTTTTGGAACGCAACCCCCGCGAAAAACGAGGGATCACTGTATCAGGATTATGTTGTCATTAAGGAGAGTCTGAAAAGAGGTTATTATTTAAGAATGCATCCTAGTGTTTGAATTTCTTCCACCATGAACACATTTTATTTTTCCAATCCATCTAAATTAATAGAGATGCACCAATCAGAGATTTTGTGATGAATTTTCTCTCTCCAGTTATTAAACTACGCCCCACAGACATTGATTCCATTGAAAATATATTTTCTTTCTGAAAAAATTCTAAATTAACTTGTAATTATAAAAATTTTTTTGGAAAGCAAAACAAGTTCCTCAAAGGTGTTGCAAAAGGTTACAGAGATGTGCTTCTGTGTGTTCATAGGCCATAAAAGAATTACAAAAATACATTTACATCATGGAAACACCAATTTTGGAAAAACTCACATTTTTTTTGCTACAAAGTTTTTTTGTGCTAGGATTAGGTGGCTTTTTCAGCCGTACCAAAATAGATGTATTTCACAAAACACTTTTTTCACATCACACGAGTCA